CATTGTTCTGTGTGCCTCTCAAAATCACTAGAATTTTTGCCTCAGGGTCTGCTTCTGGGGGAAATAAAGACACTAAGATATATGTGTTTTTTTTTTAATTCAGGTTCTTTTTTTCAGATACAATTGACATACAAGATTATACTAAGTTTAGGTATACTGCATAATGATTTATGTATATATTATGAAACAATTACCACAGTAAATTTAGTTAACACACATCACCATGTACATAACATCTATCACCATATTTAGTTTCTTGTGATGAGAACTTTTAAGCAAATTTTTAATAGCAACTTTGAAAATACAGTATTATTAACCAGAGTCACCATGCTGTACCTTACATCCCCAGAAATTATTTATTTATAAGTGAAAGTCTATACCTTTTGACTACTTTCACCATTTCACACCCACCATCTGCCTGCCATCTTCCTGCCTCTCACAACCACCAATATCTTCTTTGTATCTATAAGGCTCTTTCTTTAAAGATTCCACATATAAGTGAGACCATATGGTATTTGTCTTTCTTTTTCTGACATTTCATTTAGCATAATGTTCTCAAGGACCATCCATGCTGTCTCAAATGGCAGGGTTTCCTTTTTTAGGGATGAATGATATTCCTTTGTAAATATACCACATTTTCTTCATCCATCTACCTACCCATCAAGGAACACTGAGGTTGCTTTCATATCTTGGTTATTGTGAAGAATGCTGCAGTGAACATGGACTTGCAGATACCTATTCAAAATAGTAATTTGTTTGTTTTGAGTAAATACTCATAAGTGGAGTTGTTAGATCACATAGTACTTCTATTTTTAATTTTTTGAGGAAATGCCATACTATTTTCCATAGTACTTGCACCATTTTACAATCCCACCAGTATCAGGGCTCATATTACCCTTGTAATACCCTTGTCAGCACTCATCACTTCTTGTCCTTTTGATGTTAGTCATTCTAACAGGAGAGGGATAATATCTCAGTGTTGTTTTGACTTGTATTTTTCTGATTACTGATATTGATCACCCTTTTTTAATAATTTTAAAAATTGAAGTATACTTAATTTACATTATTGTGCTTCAGGTGTAAAGCAAAGTGATTCAGTTATGCATATATATATACATATACACACACACATGTATAGTTTCTCAGATTCTTTTACTTATAGCTCATTACATGATATTGAATATAGTTCTCTGTGCTATATAGTAGGCTCTTGGTCTATTTTACATGTAGTAGTGCATATATATTAATTACAAGCTCCTAATCTATATCTGCCAATTTACCATCAACTTTGGTGACCATAAGTTTGTTTTCTATACCTGTGAGTTTATTCTGTTTTGTAAATAAGTTCATTTGCATCATTTTTTTTTAGAATCTGCATGTCACTAACATAGTGCTATCATTAACATAATGATATCATAGGATAATTGTCTTTGTCCAATTTAGTATGTAATCTCTGGGTCCATCCATGTCATTGAAAGAACATTATTTCATTCTTTTTTATGGCTGAGTAATATTCCTTGTGCATATATACCACATCTTCTTTATCCATTCCTCTGTCGATGGACATTTAGGTTGCTTCCACATCTTGGCTATTTTTTTTTTATTGGAGTATAGCTGATTTACAATGTATAAGTATCTAGTGTAGAGCACAGTGAGTCATTTATACATATACATATGTCTACTCTTTTCCCATGTAAGCCATCACAGAATATTGAGGAAGTTTCCTGTGTTATGCAGTTTGCCCTTAATAGTTATCTATTTTACATATAATTGTGTGTATGACAATCTCAACCTCACAGTTTATCCCTGCCCATACCCCTTTCCCCTTGGTAGGCATGAATTTGCTCTCTACGTCTGTAACTATGTTTATATTTTGTAGATAAGCTCAATTGTACCCTTTCTTAGATTCCACATCCCTGGTGGCTCAGACAGTAAAGTGTCTGCCTGCAATGTGGGAGACCTGGGTTCTATCCCTGGGTTGGGAAGATACTCTGGAGAAGGAAATAGCAACCCACTCCAGTACTCTTGCCTGGAAAATCCCATGGAGTGAGGAGCCTGGTAAGCTACAATCCATGGGTTGCAAAGAGTCAGATATGGCTGATAACTTCACTTTCTTTCTTCTTTACATTCCACATATAATCTATATCACATGATATTTGTCTTTAGTTCTGACTTCACTCAGAATGACAATCTCTAGATTCATCCATGTTTCTGCAAATGGCATTATTTTGTTCTTTTTTATGGCTAAGTAATATTTCATTGTACATATGCACCACATCTTTATCCACTTCTCTGTTGATGGACATTTAGATTGCTTCTGTGTCTTGGCTATTATAAATAGTGCTACAGTGAATATTTGGGTACATGTATCTTTTCAAATTATGATTTTCTCTGAATATATACCCAAGAGTGGGATTTCAGGGTCATATGACCGGTCTATTTTTAGTTTTTTAAAGGAATGTTCAGACTGTTCTCCATAGTGGCTCTACCAATGTACATTCCCACCAACAATGTAGGAAGATTCTTTTTCTCTCCACACCCTCTCCAGCATTTATTGTCTGTAGACTTTTTGATGATTGCCATTCTGACTGGTATGAGGTTCTAGCTCATTGCAGTTTTCATCTGCACTTCTCTGGTAATTAGTTGAGCATGGTTTATGTGCCTTTTGGCCATCTGTATGTTTTCTTGGGAAAAATGTCTGTTAAGATCTTCACACCTACTTTTTAATTGCATTGTTTGCATTTTTGATATTGAAATGCATGTGCTGTTTATGTATTTTGGAGGTTAATCCCATGTCAATTATTTCATTTACAAGTATTTTCTCACATTTGGAGGAGTATCTTTTCTTTTTGTTTATGGTTTTCTTTGCTGTGCAGAATGTTTAAGTTTAATTTGATCCCTCTTTTATAGTTTTGTTTTTATTTTCATTACTCTAGAAAATGAATAAAAAAAGATCTTGTGGCAATTTATGTCGAAGAGTGTTCTACTTATGTTTTCCTCTAAGAATTTTATAGGATTTTTATAAGAGTTTTGTAGTCTTGCATATTGGTCTTTAATCCATTTTGAGTTTTTATTTTTGTTTATGATGTTAGAAAATGTTCTAAATTCATTTTTACATGTAGCTGTCTAGTTTTCTCAACACCATTTATTCCTACCTCCTTTGTCATAGATTAGGAGACTTGGTTTTATAGCTAGGCTTACTGTTCTGTTTTATTGATCTACATTTCTGTTTCTGTGTCAGTACCATACTGTTTTGATGATTGTAGTTTTATATTATAGTCTAATGTCAGGGCATCTGATGCCTCCAGCTTTATTTTTCTTTCTCAAGATTTCATCAGCAATTCAAGGTCTTTTGTGTTTCCATAAAAATTGTAAGTTTTTTTGTTCTAATTCTATGAAAAATACTATAGGTAATTTGATAAAGACTGTATTGAATCCATAGATTGTCTTGGGAAGTATAGTCATTTTTCACAATATTGATTCTTCCAATCCAAGAGTATGGTCTATCTCTTGATCTGTTTGTATTATCTTTCATCAATATCTTAGTTTTTTGACTACAGGTTTTTCCCTCTTTATGTAGGCTTGTTCCTAGGTATTCTATTCTTTTGATATGATGGTAAACAGGATTGTTTCCTTAATTTCTCTTTTTGAGCTTTTGTTTTCAGTGTATAGGAATGCAAGATTTTTGTCCTTGATTTTGTATTCTGTCACTTTACCAGATTGATTGATGAGCTCTAGTAGCCATTGGAGAAGACCCTGATGCTGGGAGGGATTGGGGGCAGGAGGAGAAGGGGACAACAGAGGATGAGATGGTTGGATGGCATCACTGACTCTATGGACATGGGTTTGAGTAAACTCCTGGAGCTGGTGATGGACAGGGAGACCTGGTGTGCTGCAATTCATGGGGTTGCAAAGAGTTAGACATGACCGAGTGACTGAACTGAAGAATTGAGTAGCTATGAAATTAAAAGATGCTTACTCCTTGGAAGGAAAGTTATGACCAACCTAGATAGCATATTAAAAAGCAGAGACGGAGGAGAGGCGGCGGCCGGGCGCGCGGGCGCCGGCGGGGCGGCCAGGGTCGCGCCGGGCCGCCAGGGCCGCCCGGCCTGGTTGCGTGATGGGCTGGCGCGCCCGCGGGGGCCGCGGCAGGCTCGCCTCGGGGCGCGCCCGCGGCCTGCGCGCCGCGCTCAGCGCCTGTGCTCTCTGTTGCAGGTCTTCCCGGAGCCCCGGAGCGAGGGCGAGTGCCTGAGCAACATCCGCGAGTTCCTGCGAGGCTGCGGGGCGTCCCTGCGGCTGGAGACGTTCGATGCAGGTGATCTGTATCAGGGGCAGAACTTCAGCAAGGTCCTCAGCTCCGTGGTGACGCTGAATAAAGTAACAGCAGACATCGGCCTGGGGAGCGACTCCGTGTGCGCCCGGCCCTTCTCCCACCGGATCAAGTCCTTCGACTCCCTGGGCTCGCAGCCTGCGCACGGCCGGACTTCACAGTTGTTCCAGGGCCAGTACCGCAGTTTGGACATGACCGACAACAGCAACAATCAGCTGGTCGTCAGAGCCAAGTTTAACTTCCAGCAGACAAATGAAGACGAGCTCTCCTTCACGAAAGGCGACGTCATCCACGTGACGCGGGTGGAGGAGGGGGGCTGGTGGGAGGGCACGCACAACGGCAGGACCGGCTGGTTCCCCAGCAACTACGTGCGCGAGGTCAAGCCCAGCGAGAAGCCCGTGTCACCGAAATCCGGAGCCTTGAAGAGCCCTCCCAAAGGATTCGATACAACTGCCGTTAACAAAGGCTACTACAGTGTGGTGCTACAGAATATTTTGGAAACAGAAATGAATATTCTAAAGAACTTCAGACTGTGCTTTCAACCTACTTACGGCCCCTGCAGACCAGCGAGAAGTTAAGTTCAGCAAACACGTCACATTTAATGGGAAATCTGGAAGAAATATGTTCTTTCCAGCAAATGCTTGTACAGTCTTTAGAAGAATGCACCAAGATGCCGGAGGCCCAGCAGAGGGTTGGGGGCTGCTTCCTTAGCCTGATGCCACAGATGAAGACCCTGTACCTGGCGTACTGTGCCAACCACCCGTCTGCGGTCAGCGTCCTCACGGAACACAGTGAGGAGCTGGGAGAGTTCATGGAGCTGAAGGGCGCCAGCAGCCCAGGGATTCTCGTGCTGACCACCGGCCTCAGCAAGCCGTTCATGCGCCTGGACAAGTACCCCGCGCTGCTCAAGGAGCTGGAGAGGCACATGGAGGATTATCACCCAGACAGACAAGATATTCAGAAATCCATGACCGCCTTCAAAAACCTTTCAGCGCAGTGTCAGGAGGTGCGGAAGAGGAAGGAGCTGGAGCTGCAGATCCTGACGGAGGCCATCCGCAACTGGGAGGGTGACGACATCAAGACCCTGGGCAGCGTCGTCTACATGTCCCAGGTCCTGATCCAGTGTGCCGGCAACGAGGAAAAGAATGAGAGATATCTTCTACTCTTTCCAAATATTTTGCTGATGTTGTCTGCCAGTCCTAGGATGAGTGGTTTTATATATCAGGGAAAGCTACCAACGACAGGAATGACAATCACAAAGCTTGAGGACAGTGAAAATCATAGAAACGCGTTTGAAATATCAGGGAGCATGATCGAGCGGATCTTGGTGTCCTGCAACAACCAGCAGGACCTCCAAGAGTGGGTGGACCACCTGCAGAAGCAGACGAAGGTCACGTCGGCGGGGAACCCCACCGTCAAGCCCCACTCTGTGCCGTCCCACACCCTCCCTTCCCACTCCATCACCCCGTCCAGCAAGCACGCGGACAGCAAGCCCGTGCCGCTGACGCCCGCCTACCATACGCTGCCCCACCCCTCCCACCACGGCACTCCACACACCACCATCAACTGGGGGCCTTTGGAGCCTCCGAAGACCCCCAAGCCCTGGAGCCTGAGCTGCCGGCGACCCGCACCGCCTCTGCGGCCCTCAGCTGCCCTCTGCTACAAGGAGGACCTGAGCAAGAGTCCCAAGACCATGAAGAAGCTGCTCCCCAAGCGCAAGCCAGAGCGGAAGCCCTCAGACGAGGAGTTCGCACTGAGAAAAAGCACGGCTGCGCTGGAGGAGGATGCCCAGATCCTGAAGGTCATTGAGGCTTACTGCACCAGCGCCAAGACGCGGCAGACACTCAACTCAAGTTCACGCAAAGAATCTGCTCCGCAAGTTTTACTTCCAGAAGAAGAGAAAATTATAGTTGAAGAGACTAAAAGTAACGGTCAGACAGTGATAGAAGAAAAGAGTCTCGTCGACACCGTGTACGCGCTAAAAGATGAAGTCCAGGAGTTACGACAGGACAACAAGAAGATGAAGAAGTCTCTGGAGGAGGAGCAGAGAGCCCGCAAAGACCTGGAGAAGCTGGTGAGGAAGGTGCTCAAGAACATGAATGACCCTGCTTGGGAAGAGACAAACCTCTGAGGGGCGTCCTGGTGCTCCGTCAAGACCGCTTCCGAGACTGAGCCTGAGCCAGAACCCCACGACCCCCGCCCCTGACGCTCAGGCTGCAGGCGGGGCTGTGCGTGGAGACTGCAGCCGGGCGGCCGTGAGCTCCAGGCCGAGCCCAGACCACGTCCCCCCCCCACACCCAGTACCTCGTTCCGCAATAAGTGCGGTGATGGCGTCTGGACTCATGGGCTCCGAGTGAATACGTGTCAATGTTACATGTACGTTCCCTGTAAATGCCCTGTTCTGGACGCACCCGGCGGTGTTTCTATCTGGGCTGACTGCTGGGCTGCAGTCCCCTCTCGCTCACCTCCCTGCTCCCGCGCCCTGGGGCGTGTGCTCACTGCTCGTGGGGACCGGAGGCTGCAGACCTGCAGCTGTTTCTGGGGGTGCCTGCTCTGCTGCCGCGCTCCAGAAACCCCTCGCACGGTGTCTGCCTGCGGCTCACCTGCTTAGACCTGCAGGGACCCATCTCCCCCGCTCCCCCAGTCTCCTGGTCGAGCGGGGTCGCAGGCCACGTGCAGCACTCGGGCTGAACCCGGGAGCCGCGTCTGCTGCCAGAGGGCCCCATGACGGGTGTGTGCACGCCCGCCTTGTGTGAGCACGTGCGTGGTGGAGGGTGCCTGGCTGGGGTTGGCCTGGGAACTCGGCCAGGTGCACTGTCCCGTCCTCCCCGAAGGTGTGAGCTCCCTGAAGCCTGTAAATAAAGTGTGTTATTTATTGCACGTCACTGCAGCCCGTGAGGACGCTCTGCCGGGCGCAGGCGGGCTCTCTGCCTGAGGCTGCTCTGGCTCCAAAACCTGCCATCCTGTTGGGCGCGGGCAGGCCTTCCGTGCTCACTGAGGAGGCAGTGTCTGCACGAATCAAGCAATAGAACACGCCTGAGACCCCCAAGGAGTAGGGCTCACAACCGGGCCCCCCACCCCACCCCACACCGAGTCCAGATGGCCAGGGCCTGGAGGAGGGGGCCTGGGGTCCAGCCGGCTCACGGGACCTGCTCCTGCGCCCCGCTGTTCTGAAGAGGTCGTTTGTAAAGTGAGATGAACTCGTAGAAGACAAGCATCATGTCTTTAAAAGCCCAAACCCCAGCCCCTGAATCAGGGGCGTCTTGGAAATGCCCGCACGGTATCAGACGTGACTGGTCTGCGCCTCTGTCTACGTCGGCCGGACGCCCCTGAGCTGGAGCAGCTGGCCTGGACGCCCGGTCCCGCCCGCGGCCGCGCCCTCAGCCTCCTGCGCTCCCAGGGATGTCGGCCTTGACCATCCTGAGGACGCCTGACCTTGTAACGGGGACTGCCGGCTTCCTGTGCTCAGCGTTTTGTTTTCTTCGTTGCTGGTGGGGCTGGAAACGACGGCCTTGCAGTGTTTGGTGAGCCCCGTTTTCACAGCAGGCCCTTTGGTGACCCGTGAGACCTCGCAGTGGGAAACAATCCAATCCGTGCACTGAAGTTTGCTGTCTCGAGCAAATTCTAACTCAGGAACTAGTCATCGCCTGACTCTCCAGCACTTTGTGGCGGGTGGTCTTGCCGCCCACACCCCGACGGGGTGCCCGCAGAACCTGCCTTAACTGTTGACTTGAGCATCGAGGGGGCGCACATCCTGTCTTCTCACCGCGCCTCCTCCCCAGGGGTGGCCGTCGACATGCTTGCGTGACGTGTCCTTCCCTGGTCCCAGGGCTTTTACTAAGCTTTCCCGGGAGCACAGACGATGCATCTGAGCGGTTCTTCCTACAGACCCGCCCTGTTGTCAGTGGACTGCCCCCGTGTCTCCGGGGGACTCTCGAGGGGCCCGGGCTCCCAGGGGATGTCAGGAAGGGGCCGTCTGCCTGCTGGAGTCGCCTCTGCCCCACCTCCCACAGACAAGGAGACAGCGACGTCCTGGCCCGGGCGGGAGGGGACGTGCCGGAGCTATCCGCGGTCGGGAGGTGTGCTCTGCGGCGGGTTGAACCATTGTCGGGGACTCCCCGCGGGCCCCCGTGGGATGTTCACAGCCATGGGGGGCCTCCACGAACGCCCCCACCCCCGCGCCCCAGTGTCCTGGTCTTGACTATTCACGCTCTGTGGCTGTAATTATTAAACTGACTATTTTTCTTATGTTAAAAAAAAAAAAAAAAAAAAAGCAGAGACATTACTTTGCCAACAAAGGTCTGTTTAGTCAATGGTTTTTTCCAGTGGTCATGTATGGATGTGAGAGTTGGAGCGTGAAGAAAGCTGAGCACTGAAGAATTGATGTTTTTGAAATGTGGTGTTGGAGAAGACTCTTGAGAGTCCCTTGGACTGCAAGGAGATCCAACAAGTCCATCCTAGAGGAGATCAGTCCTGGGTGTTCATTGGAAGGACTGATGCTGAAGATGAAGCTCCAGTACTTTGGCCACCTCACATGAAGAGTTGACTCATCAGAAAAGACCCTGATGCTGGGAGGGATTGGGGGCAGGAATAGAAGGGGACGACAGAAGATGAGATGGCTGGATAGCATCACTGACTTGATGGACATGAGTTTGAATAGACTCCAGGAGTTGGTGATGGACAAGGAGGCCTGGCGTACTGCGATTCATGGGGTCTCAAAGAATCGGACATGGCTGAGTGACTGAACTGAACTGAGTAGTTTTCTGGTAGCATCTTTAGGGTTTTCTATGTATATTGTCATGCCATCTGCAAACACCTTTACTTCTTATCTTCCAATTTGGATTCTTTTTATTTTTTTCTTCTCTGAATGCCTTGACTAAAATTTCCAAAGCTATACTGAAAAAAAGCAGTGAGAGTGGACCTCCTTGTCTTTTTCCTGATCTTAGAGGAAAGGCTTTCATTTTTTCACCATCGACAATGATGTGGAATTTTTGTATATAGCCTTTGTTTTGTTGAGGTAGATTTCCTCTGTGTCCAATGTCTGGAGAGTTTTGTTTTTTTTAAATCATAAATGGGTGTTGAATTTTGTTAAAAGCTTTTTCTGCATCTATTGAGATGGTCATATGTTTTTTATTCTTTAATATGTTGGTGTGGTGTATCTTACTGTATGATTTGCAGATATTGAAGAACTCTTGCCCCCTGGGTTAAAACCCACTTATTCATGGTGTATGATTCTTTTGATGTGTTGTTAGATTCAATTTGACAGTATTTGATGAGGATTTTTGAGTTCATGTTCATCAGTGTTATTGGCCTGTAGTTTTCTTTTTTTGTGTGTGATATCTTTATGTGATTTTGGTATCAGGGCACTGGTGGCCTCATAGAATGAATTTGGTACAGTTCCTCTGTACTTTTTTGCAAGAATTTAAGAAGGGTAGTTGTTAACTCTTCTTTGAATGTTTGGTGGAATTCACTTGTGAAGCTCTCTGGTCTGGGACTTTTGTTTTTTGATAATTTTAAAATTTCTGATTCAATTCCAGTACTGGTAATTGATCTGTTCATATTTTCTGGGGCTTCCTTGGTGGTTCAGACAGTAAAGAATCTGCCTGCAGTTAAAAAGACCAGGGTTCAACCCCTGGGTCAGGAAGATCCCCTGGAGAAGGGAATGGCCCACTCCACAATTCTTGCCTGGAGAATTCCATGGACAGAAAAGCCTGGTGGGTTACTATCCATGGGACTGCAAAGAGATGCATACTATTTCTTTTGAAATAGTTCAGTATTGAGAGATTGTACTTTTTAAAAAATTTTGTCCATTTCTTCTGTCTATTTTATTGGCATGTAGCTTGTAGGAGTCTCTTATGATCTTTTGTATTTCTGTGGTGTTAGTTGTAACTTCTTCATTTCTGAGTTAATTCATTTGAGCCCATTTCCTTTTTTTCCCTATGAATCTAGTTAAAGATTATCAATTTTGTTTATCTTTTCATAGAACAAGTTTTTAGTTTGATATTTGCTATTGTTTTCTTGATCTCTTTTTTAAATTTATTTTTGCTCTAATCTTTATGATTTTTTTCCTCCTATATTTTGGGTTTTGTTTGTTCATCTTTCTTTAGTTGCTTTCACTGTAATATTAGGCTGTTCGTTTGATATTTTTATTGTTTCCTGAGGTAAGCTTGTGTCATTACTATCTTTCCTCTTTCTATTGCTTTTGCTTCATTCCATTAGTTTTGGATCATTGTGTTTTCATTTTTGTTTTTCATTAGGTGATTTTGTAGCATATTGTTTAGCCTTCATGTATTTGTGTTTTTTATAGCTTTTTTCTTGTAGTTGATTTCTGTAAGAAATTTTTATAAGGATGCTGTATATATTTTCAGTTTTATTAAATTTACCACTGTTTGTTTTGTGGCACAGTATGTGCTCAGTTCTGGAGATTGTTTTATATCCACTTGAAAAGAAATGTATATTTTGCTGCTTTCAGTTGAAATGCCTATATATATATATATATACATATATATATATACACACACACACACACACACACACCTATATTTATATTTACATTTATATATAAATTAGCTCCATTTGCTCTAATGTGTCATTGAAGGCCTGTGGGTACTTTCTGTGTGGGTGATCTTTCCACTGATGCAAGTGAATTGTTGAAGTCTCCCCCATTATTATTGTTCTACTGTCAGCATCTCCTTTTATGTCTCTTAATGATTGTCATATATATTGAGGTACTCCTATGTTAGGTGCATGTATATTTATAATTGTTATATCTCCTTCTTTGTTTGATTCCTTGATCATTATGTATTGTCTCTTGTAATAGTCTTTATTTTGAAATGTATTTTGTCTAATATAAATATTACTACTCTGGGTTTGTTTTGATTTTCATTTGCTTGAATTACCACTTTTTATTTCCTCATTTTCATTTTGTATGTGATTGTAGATCTGAACTGAGTTGATTGTAGGCAGCATGCATGCATGCTAAATCGCTTCAGTCATGTCTGACTCTTTGTGACCCTATGGATAATAGCCCACCAGGCTCTTCTGTCTATGTGATTCTCCAAGCAAGTATACTAGAGTGGATTGCTATGCTCTTCTCCAGGGAATCTTCCCTACTCAGGGATCAAACCTGCATCTCTTATGTCTCCTGCATTAGCAGGCAGGTTCTTTACCATCTGTGAAGCCCTGTAGGCAGCATATATATGTCCTTATTTTTGCATCTAGTCAGCCAGTCTATATCTTTTGGTTGGAGCATTTAGTCCATTTATATTTAAGATAATTTATTAATATGTACCTCCTTATTGACATTTTGTTAATTGTTTTGGATTTTTTTCTGTAGCTCTTTTCACCCTCATTTCTTCTTTTGTTCCCTTCTCTTGTGATTTGATGACTATCTTTAATGTTATGTTTGGATTTCTTTTCTTTTTTCTTTTTTTTGTATAACTATTTTAGAGTTTTGTTTTGCAGTTACCATGAGGTTTTTTGTGGCACTCCGTGTGTGTGTGTGTGTGTGTGTGTGTGTGTGTGTGTGTTAGGAGGTATATTGGAGTAGGAAATGGCAACATACTCCAGTATTCTTCCCTTGAAATTTCCACACACAGAAGAGCCTGGTCGGCTACAGTCCATGGGTCGCAAAGTGTCAGACACGACTGACTGACTATGTGTGCGCGTGTGCACACACACACACACACACTTGTTTTCAGTTGTTCATCTCTTAATTTTCATATGCATTTTAGATATCCTTCATTTGTACTCTCTTCCCTTCAAGATCATTGTTTTTGATATGCTATTTTACATCTAATTAGTTTCTGTATTGTTTAACTGCTTATGTAGATACAAATGGTTTACTACTTGTGTCTTTTAACTTATCTGCTATCTTTGTGTGTGGATGACTTTCTACTTTTATTATACGTTTACTTTTATCAGTGAGCTTTTCTATTTCATATTTTCTTGTTTCTAGTTGGGACTTTTCCTTTTCCACCCAGAGAAGGTCTTTTAGCATTTGGTATAAAGTTGATTTGGTGGTTCTGAATCCTTCCAGCCTTTTCTTGTCTGTATAACTTTTGATTTTTTTCATCAAATCTGAATGAGAGTCTTGTTAGAGTATTCTTGGTTGTAGGTTTATTTTTTACTTCCCTCTGTTTAAATATATCATAGCACTCCATTCTAACCTGAAAAATCAGCCAGTAGGTTTATGGAAATTCCCTTATGGGAGTTCCCTTGAATATAGTTTTTGCTTTCTCCTTGTTGCTTTTAATATTATTTATTGATATTTAATTTTTGTCATTTTCATTGCATCATGTATTGCTGTGTTTCTCTGTAGATTTATCTTCTATGGGTCGTTCTTTGCTTCTTTTACTTGAATGACTTTCTTTTTCCAAGTTAGAAAGGCTTTCAGCTATGAGCTCTAAAATATGTTCTCATATTTTCTCTCTTCTGACACCCCTATTATGAATAGACACCCCTATTATGAATATTAGTGTGTTTGATGTTGTCCCAGTGGTCTCTTAATTTGTCCTCTTTGCTTTTCATTCTTTTTTACTGTCCAGCATCAGTGATTTCCACTATTCTGCCTTCCAGAACATTGATTTATTCTTGTCTTATTAAGTGTGCTCTTGATTCCTTCTGGGCATCCCAGGCGGTGACTTCTAGTGTATTTTTCATTTCAGTTCTTGTATTCTTCAATTCTGTTTATTCTTTATATTAACTAATTCTTTGCTAAACTTTTTTTTCACTCTGTGCATCCATTCCCATCCTCAGTTCTTGTATCAGCTTTACAATCATTGCTCTGAACTCTTTAACAGGTAGATTGTCTATCTCCATGTCACTTAGTTCTTCTTCTAGGGTTTTATCTTGTTCCTTCATTTGAAACGTATTCCTCTGTTGTCTCTTTTTGTTTAAGTTTTTATTTGCAGTTTTCTGTGTATGACGTTAGCTATACCTCTTGGCCTTGTGGCAGTGGCCCTCTGTGGGAAATATCCCATGCTCAGCTCTCATCATTCATGGATAAGTTGCCTGTCTGTCTGAGGGTTGTGTCTGACTGTTAATTCGGTCTTCAGGATGCAGGATTGTAGTTTACCTGCTTCTGGTATCTGACCTCACCGGGTGAGTCTAGTCTAGAGGCCCAGACTTCCTGGTAGGAGGGGCTGCTGCCTGCCTACTGGTGCATGGAGCTGGGTCTTGGCCTCCAGTGGGCAGGAATAAGTCTAGGGGTAGGTCTGGAGGCA